AGAGTGCAGTGGTCCAAAGTAGGTCTCCATATAGATTTTTCAGGGTTTTTATTTTATGAAGTTTTCTTACATTTGACTTCTACAGCTTTTTATGACCGTGAAGACAAGCGATCTCAACTGTCTCACCCCATGATCCCAAACCCAGCCTTACCCCCCCAGTCAGGGTCATAGGTGCATATGTCCCGTTGTACTGGTCAAGCAGGGAATGGAACCCATGTCTTCCATGTGGACCCAGCACGGCTGAGCAGTGTTACCAGGATGCCACCTGCTGGCCAAGGGAAAAGATTTACTTTCTGAAAATTGAGAGGATCCCCAGGCTGGGCAGTCCCAGGAGGCCACTTGCTAGGCCCTATGCTACAGCACTGTGGCCTCTCTCAGATTTGGGGCTACCTCCTCAGCACCTCAGATCTAGAGCCACACTCTCAGGGTGAGCAGTAGGAGCAGAACCATGCCAGCCCCAGCTGTGGCTCTCCAAAGTCCCTTCCTGCCAGAGCCAACAAATGCAGCAGCAGCGTGAAGGTGAGGGAGGGGAGAAGGAGGGACAGTAATCTTTTATCTCCCCGAGATAAAACTTGATCGTGACTTCTGGGAGGAGTGGGTGTTCTGAGAGAAACTGTCGCATGGGTGTGCGCCCTGAGCCTGAGAGCCAGCTCAAGACTAGAGGACTGCTTTGAAGAAGACCATGGCGATCCAGACTATAGGTTCCAAGCCTGGTCAGTCCTGCTGACACTGGCCACGTGTGCTTTGTACCTGTGTGGCTTTCAAGGCATCACGAAATTGAAGGGCCCTATGCCTACTTCTTCCCACTGAAAGCCATGGGAAAATGTCCATGAGAAAATGATTTTCCAAGGATGGTGTCTTTGTGTCCCTAACATCTAGAGAAGGGCTGGGCACGTAGAAGAGGCAAGAAAAATATCTGTTACTGTGGGCTGTAACAGTAATAAGACATTGAGCCCTAGGCTAGACATTGTTCCAAAGACTCATTCATTAGCTCCTCCAAGTCAAAGTGGGCATTTTCTAAGAAAACTGAGGCTAAAAGTTTAAGTGAAAGAATCAGGGTTTGGAACAAGAGTCTGGCTGTACAGTCCATGCTCAGTCCAGGCTAAACCTTGCTAGGCCCGGTAAGGTTGGCAAACTATGGTCCTTGGGCTAAATCTAGTTTTTGAGTGAAGTTTTATTGGAACATCACCTCTCTCGTTCACTTATGTATCATCTAAGACTATTTGTACCATAGTGGCAAATTTAAGTAGCTACAACAGAGACTACATATGTAGACCACAAAGCCGAAAATATTAACTGGCTCTTTGCAGAAGTTTGCCAAGCCCTGTTCTAAACCACTGCTCAGCCGCTGTCTCTAAAGCAGTGTACACATTATAATGAACTGACATATTAATGCCAGTAACATGAGAAATGAACATCAGGTTCTCCGAATAACTAGCTGCAGGTTAGTTAACGGTTTCCTTTGTTAAGACCACTGACCTTAGGGGCTAGCAAGTGGTATGGTGGTCAAGGTGCTGTACTCCCACATGGCTGGCCATGGTCTGAGTCCCGAACCTGGCAGCTTGAAAGTCGCATCAAGCACGTATGCGCGCATGTCCAAAATCCTGAGAGAAGATTGGAGGAAAAGGGATTATGGCATGGCCATTCCCCCTGGGTGGTGATTTCTCACTTTCTCTCTCTCTCTCTCTCTCTGTCCAATGAGTGCAAACACTCTAAGGCAAAAGCTACTAAAAAAAAAAAAAAAAGAAAAAGAAGCCACCAACCTTCCCAGTGTGTGTACCCTTAGATGTACCATTCTAACTCAAAAGTAGTAACACCAACTCGTAAGCAGCTACTTCAATAAGCAGACATAAACCAAACAGCTGCCACGTCTACATTGTCACGGCCATGGTGAGACGTCACGCAGGCAGAGCCTGGCCCTGCAGATGGACGTAATGGTAATATGGAAGTTCTGAACAGCAGAGGGGAGGCAAAACCCTCAAGAGGACATAACATTCGTTCCTGGATGATGAACGGACCAGCAGAAAATGGGATCAATCAGACACTGAGAGTCACCTTTTCTCTATTCCTCAGACTTTAAATGGAGAGGAAAAAAACCACAAAATCTCAATTCTAATAGTTCCCTGTTTTATTGCAATACATCAAAGTCTGGTTAATATTAAGTGATACCAACATAAAATATTGGTGAGGAGTCTTTTGTTACATTTTTGACTATCCCACCTTAAATATTTCTGTGCAAAAGAATCCACATCATTGTTTGGTAGCAGAGAATCTCTTGTAAAGTTCCCTAAGACATTGAGGGCATAAAACCAAACGAGATAAGAAGTGGTAAGAGGCCAAAGCAGTATCTTCCCCCTTCCATACACACATATCTGTCAGCATTATATTCTAAACAAAAAATGATTACACCTAGGCCATGCAAAACTGTACAATAATATTACAATGAGAAAAAAATCCTAAAAAATTTATAAAATAAATGATAGTACACTATCAAATAAAAAGGCAGGCCATTTTGTTTTCATGAGATTTCAAGGTGGATGTGAGTCCGTTTCCCCATGACTGAATGGTTCCTGTGGGTAATGGTCATCCCCGGGGAGAAGCAGCGCCTGGCCTGCTGCAGCCCTCCTGCTGAACAGGGCACTGCAGAGACTCTGGGCTCAAGTAACTGAGTTAGAACACAGGCAGAGGTTTGGGAACGGTCTCAAGAAGTGTCATGCAGCTTCTCTAACTCAGGGGCAGGGCTGGGAATGGACTTGGGCTGTGGCGATGCTGCTCCAAGTGCTTCTAGAAAGGGGACCGTGCACCTTAGCAGCCCCTGGCAGCTGGGAGACCAAGGTGTGTGCGATCACTGCCAGAACCAGCAGACAGCCTCTGACCTCTGGTGGGCTAGGGGTTAGGGGGTCTGCCCACCTCCGGGCTGGAGCTTCTTTACTGGTATCTGAGATTCCATAAATGCAACTGGTCTCAGAAATGGATGTGGCCAGTGAGTAACAAAATGACATGATTCTAACCATATGGAAGAAGAGAGGCTGAGAACCAGTCAGGGAATGACAGAATGTTGCTGTAAACATGACAGGGATTCTTCCCTGAAGCTTGGGTACAAGATTTGGTTGGAAATGCAAACAGATGGGCCCTTTTTACTTGTCTCTCATAACCTTAAAGCTGTGCTCCCTGGGAAAGAATGTAAATCACTAAATAAATGCAGTATGTGTATATTAAGTGTGTGTGTGTGTATGCGCGCACACACAATAACTAAATAAGTGAAATCTGCTTTAGCAATCATTTGAAAAAGAGGAAGGCTTTTGTTTTTGGCAAAAAAGAAATGTGTGTGTGTGTGTGTAATTTTATACCCAAAGCACATGACAATTCAGAATTCAAGAGGAGATAACAAATTGGCTGGACACGGATAGCACCAAATACCAATGCATATAGACTATGTCAGAAGTGCCACTGGATTTTTTTTTTCTACTGTGAAATGTTTCTGCTGCCACCTACATTTCTTAAATGTCCTGCACAAAAGCAAAGGATGACTTCAGATAGTGATAGAATGCCTTTTGTGTGATCTTTGCTACTCAAGTCTTTTGAATGATCATTATAGTTCCTGTTTCTCTGGAACCTAGTCCTCATCTTTTCAAATCATTCTTCTCAGAAGCTTCTGAAGGTAACAGGTTTCATATTTAAGAGTAGGATGAGCCCAGCAGGATGGCTGTTATAGTGGGAAAATACTCCCCAAAACTATTCCCCTTGGCAAAGTTTCTCCCTCAAAGTCCTGTCTGGAGAACAGATGTACTTGGGACTGCTCCATTTCAGTTGCTGAAACACCTCAGGACTGCAGTGGACAGCTCACAAAGTGCAGAGCTGCGGCACTGGCTTCCCATGAACAAGCTGCCTGGCAGCCAGGACAAGTCTCTGGTAGCTCTTTCATTTGTCCTGTCGGGAGACTAAACAGCAGGCTCACTGTAATGGAGCCTACACTTCAAGTAGGATTCTACTTTGATCTTAAAAGCATCCTTCAAAAAATAAGCACCTGTAGGCAACAATAATTCACAACTAGTTGTCAAAGCTCTGAACTAAAGGCTTAGTGTAGGGTCTGATCAGTTTAGGACTCAGTCTGTCTCCTCTCTGCTGGGAAGAGAAGGAAAAAGGAACACACAGAGGGGAAAGAAAGGGAAAGGTGAGGGGAACGTAGACGGGGGCTGGCTGGCTACTTTATTCCATTTTCTACAAACTTGAGCTCTCATTCTTGATATTTGTAAATACAAAACTATTTCTACATGACACTTCTTTTCCAAAAGCAAAAATATTTGGGAGATTAGAACTATGCAGTGAATTATGCCCATCCAAAATAAAATAAAATCGAATCTGAGCTAGGACCAAATCCAGAACATCTGTCAAAGACAGCTGTTATTTTCAAATTCACTATTATAAGTGCTTGCAATATAATCCCTAACAGAACCCCTCCTTCCCTCACTCAGTAACCTTCTTTCTAAAGAGCATCAACTGGAAGACCGCTCAGCTCCCTGCAGCCCGCACAGGCAGGGGCACAGGCCACTGGGACAAAAGCCATGAGAAGTGCCAGATAGCAGCAGTGAGATGACAGGGCTCAGCATGGCAACCCTCTAGCAACTGCAGGCCAACACCTTGCACGAGAGCCAATCGGGGAAGAGGGAAGAAAGTCCCATTTCTATTTTTCAGAGAAACTTAGGTGGAAAGTAAGAGATAGGCAAATTCTCTTTAACTTTCATGAGATACTTTTAATTTTTATCTCATTCTCTTCTCATGTGCTTAACTGGTGAAGTGACTGTAGAAATAAGTTTTTCTGGTTCTGCATCTTATCTCATGGCAATCAAAATAGCAGGAATTTAACTGGACACGTAACTAACAACACAGTACGGCAACTGGGGAGGAATCCAGTCACGTTTTCTCTGTGCAATGGGGTTCATTATGTTCACTTTCCACTGGGTAGGAGAAAGTATTTGGTTAAGGCTGTTCAAGTCCTTGCTGTTGAGGTTTTGCATTATTTGGTATTGAGAGTCTTTTTCCCAGGCTTGTCTGAGGAAGTTGACACTCACCCTCAATAAAACGGAACTCATTTTTAATTGGGGGAGGGGGGACAGGATTAGCCCAGGGGGAAAAAATCAATTTTATAAATCTTTTTATGGACCGTCAGAAGCCATGACATTCCTCGTGTCTTTTCAGGTGGGAGAGATTAGGTGTTGACAAAACTGTGTTTCTACATTTATCTGCAGAAGATACTGAACTATAAAAATTGAGAAGTGTTCAAACTCTACCACTAGGAAATGTTATGTCTGGAGTGGAGGCAAAAGTTGCCTTTTGCTCCTGCTGCCAAAGTGGCTTAGAATGTTGAAGCTCTAGTGCCAGATCGCCCTCTAAACCCATGGAGCCAGTATCTGCAAATGCTCCTTCTCAAGCTCCCCGTGACCACGGCCTACAACCAGTTGGAGAACAGGCACTAAAAGGAACTCTGAATTTTTTCCCGCTCCTTCTACAAACATCAGCTCGAGGCCTTCCTACTCTTTACATTCACTGGGAAACAGACAAACACATGTGTTTTTTAAATGCTCTCTCTCTTATATATGCATCCATCTTTTGGGGACTACAAGATGCTTCTTTTGACTATGTACATTCAGTATTTTAACTTCTACATTTATGTATTTAAACTCTGTACTGTAGTGAAATATGCATGGTTTAATTTGTCAGGATTTCCTGGCAGCCATCAGACTGCCCCTCCCAGTGCCTGCCAGTGAGCTCCGTGTGCCACTCCAGGACGGCCACCCCCTCCGGATGGGGAGAATCCCATGCGCTACTATAGGACAGTGAGACTCTACTGTGAAAACAAAATCTGTCTAATCTTATCACTTACATTTGTGTAATCTGTCTATTTAAGCTACCTTTGGGGAGCGGGGTGAAATATTGTCGAAAGAACTCTAAGTGTATGGTGTGAAATCAGTATCAATCTAAGTTGCTTAATGAAAGTCTGCCTTTGTGTTGCTGTTAGGCTGGAGTGGGGCAGGGGTGGTGGGTTGGGCACGGATCTGCGAGTCATGAAGTCAGAACTCCGGGATCCCTCCCTGCAACTACTGCCAGCCCTTGGTCAATTTTCTGACAGAGATGGAGGAAAGAGATGGAGGTGAGATAAAAGGGTGAGTGGGGGGAGCCGAGAGCCAGAGCCGCCCTGCGCCGAGGGTCTGAGCAGCTCACGGGTCCCAGCTCCCGCGGTCGGTGCTCTCCAGAGAGAGACTCTTGGTCTTTCGGGGTGAGACTGGGCTTGGGGGGCTGCTCAGGTTGGAACTGTTGGAAGCCGTGGAATGCCTCGGAGAATCAGAGTCCTGTAGGGCCCAAAGTAAAACACTGATGAGAGGCCAAGACAGAGAAGGGAGCGAGGTGGGGTCAGCTATTACCAAGAGTCCCCTCCGCCCCCTTCCCCTCACCCCCCACTCCTGACCACATGACCTGATGGGGCTTCTTTACTATGAGTAGGAAGTCTCTCTTCTGAGCTGAGTAAAAGGCACAGAGTATAAATGCTCTTAGTAGTCTGAACACCTTGGGGAACACCTGTTTGAAACCCAAGCGACTATCTTTGCTGTCCCTTGGCTGAGAGTGAACACTGACCCTTTGCAGCAGCTGAGGCCAATCTCAAGGAAGTAGGATTACTTGGGTAAATGCACTAGTCTGTTTCATTCATTTACTTATTTCTAATTTTGAGACCAGTCTCACCATGCCCTGACTTCGTCTCCCAGCTGGGGCCACATGTACCCACCAACATACCCAGTTCTCTTCAGACAGGACCTCACTACACTGCCGAGGCCAGCCTCGAACTTGTGATCTTCCTGCCTCAGCCACCTGGGTTGCTGGCACTACAGGTACAGGCCGCCACTCCTGGCCTCTTGGTCGGGGCAGGAATCAAAGTTGGGCCTCCTGTGTGGTCCTAGACTGCAGAGCACAGCGTCCTGGCAGCATGCCCCCCTGCAGCTGGGCTGCACTAGTCTTTTTGATCCTGGATGGTTTCAAACCTCACCTCTTCAGGCACAATTGTTACCTGCACTCCACTTACCTCACCATCATAGTCCCTCGCTGGGGCATCACTGCCTTGGTCCATGCCCCCAGAAGACAAAGAACCCTCTGATGGAGAAGGCATGGGCTGCCGTTTAGCACTGTAGCTTCCTCCAGAGAACTCCCTCTTCAATGCACTGCCATTCTGTGCAGATGACCCTACAGCACATCATTCAAGCAAAATTTCACTTGGGTGAAGGATAATCCTTTATAATGTGTACAGACTACCAAGATGACAAGTCATCCTTCCCCAATGGACAAGAAGCCCAACTGTGGCACTCTGGCCCTGGGGATCAACCCCACATTCGAGCAGTCTTACACAGTTGTCCCTACCACAGCTGCCACAGGGCTGTGCTGATGTAGCCCTGCTTGCCAGCAATTCCTAGGGAACCTTTCAAGTCCCCACCTATCTAGTAGTGTCTAGTAGTGTCTGTGAGTCTTTCCCAGCCCCAGGGCACCCTGTAACAACTCTTTCACAGCACTTATGAAATCATGTTCTGGGTCAGCTGGAGATGGGGGTTAAGGCAGCTGGATCCCACATGGCTGACCAGGAGGTTTGAGTTCTGGACCCAGTAGCCTAAAAAAATAAACCAGATACACATATGTGCCTGCCCAAAATCCTGAGAGGAGAATGGAAAAGAGACTGTGGCATGGCCATCCTCTGACCCCTTCCCTTGTCTGTCTGTCTCTCTCTGGCAAATGTACACACCCTAGAGCAAAATTTTAAAAAAAGAAATCATGTTTAACCATATGTCTGTCATTCCCCTCCAGGCATTTGCCCTCCCAGAGCCTGGCAAAGGACATGACATACAACAGGCTCCAAACAGGTGCATGACTTGCTTGGGGAGGGGGGTGGGGAAGAAAGAGACAGAGAAAACATACGGGTTTTCAGGAGGATGACCATGCTGCAATCCCTTCTCCTCCATTCTCCTCTCAGGATTCTGAGCATGCACACATATGCCCTGCTAGTCCAGGACTCTTAACTGTAGTCAGATACATGGGATCAAGCATCTTAACCGCCATGTTACCTGGCTGACCCTGAAAAATGTTTTAATCTTGCTATGCGCTTCAATATTAGGATCACTGGTCAAGAGATTGCTGATTTTTCAGTATAACTCTAAGATATAGTATAGATTGTGATTATTTTAATTATTGTGATGATTTTACTTCTCTGATTCTGTTTTCCTCACTTGTAAGTAAGAAAATTAATTCTGCTTTAGGGGATTTTTGTGACAACTGAATGCTCAATACTGAGAGAATAAAACGTAAGACACGGTACATGAGGGGGTCTACACTGCTCTTCTCATGTGCCTGTTCTCCTCCATCTTAAATCTCAGTGATTTACACTTTTTTTTTTTTTAATTTTTTTTTTTTTAACTTTGAACCTCAGGAATCTTTCTTTTCAAAGAAAGGTTACATTCAATCCACTACCAATCTTAAAAAGTTAAGGTGAGACTGTTTTGGTTAAATAGCAAAAGGAGCCTGGGGACAATCTGAAAACTGGTCTCGGTGACTAAGACCACATCCTCCAGTATAGTTTCTTCTAGAGCAGTTTTAGGTAGTGATTCTGGGGGTAGGGTAAAGGGCTGAATTTCTTTGGGGTGAGGGTTATTCAAACCCTGAATACCTTCTGGGGAGTTCTGAGGGCTCTCTAGTGAGCCCCTTTGCAGACAGAAGTAGGGAAGGATGGTGGGCCACGATAGTGTCATGGTGGGAGCCACTGTTGTAATCTGACTATGACATGAAGCCATTGTGAGATTGGCTATGGAACACCCTGTGCTTCTTGGAGAGTGATGAGAGAGTTCCCACATTTCTACATGTCTCTCTTGGCTGGCTGACCTTCTGGAAACAATTTCTACAAGCTAAGCTATTCCAAAGCCAGCAGGAGGCACTCAAAATAGCAGATGCCCTTGGAATTTCTAGAATGGTCTCTCTTCTTTTATTTATACAAGTAGCTTTTACCAGTGATCTCAAAAATGCTGGGCTTGAATAACACATTAAAGACCTCAACAGGAAAGTGAAGTTAGCTCCAGTCTGCAGTTGACATATGTCAACAGTGAACAGGACCGTCACTTCAACACCTCAAAGGAGAGGTTTTTGCTATAGGGCGTGTGCGCTCGCCAGACAGACAGAGACAGAGAGACAGAAAAGCGAGAAATCACCCCCCAGGGGGGATGGCCATGCCACAATCCCTTCTCCTCCATTCTCCTCTTGGGATCTTGGGCACGCACGCACACATGCCCGGCGTGAGTTTTAAGCCACTGGGTCCGGGACACAAACCGCAGTCGACTATGTGGGAGTCCAGCGACATAGCCATTACGCTAACTGCTGGTACGGAGCTGACTTATCTCTTTAAATCTCTGTATTACAGGTCCTATCCTTATCTATCTGCAAATACTCAAGTCCCCAAAACCAAAAAATCTGTGTAAGTTTGACAAAAAACCATGTGACAGCAAAAAACTAATCTGAACTGACTAGAGGATGATTGTAGGCCTTAAAAACCACATTATAGTTGATTAGTTATAATTTCTGCTGTATACGTAGTAACGTACTAGTGGGTACTGCGTATTGTTCCAGATCTTACTGAGAATGGCAGAATCATTTCTAAAACAAAAACAAACAACGTCATCCACAATAAAAACCTCAGAATTCTGAAGAAGAAGAAAAAAATCTGGCCTCAAGGGTTTTGGGTAAGGGATTGTGAACCATTACTTAACTATTAATGTTGTGACACTTTCCTTGGATCTCAAATCTTGATAACTAATAGTTACAGTCTAAATCCACCATCTTTTTTGTTTTTCTTTTTTCGTTTTTTTTTTTTTTTTGAGAGGTTTTTGCTATAGGATGCATGTGCTTGCCAGACAGACAGGGAGGCAGAGAGACAGAAAGCGCAAAATCACCCAGGGGGGATGGCCACGCTGCAATCCCTTTTCCTCCATTCTCCTCTCCGGATCTTGGGCACACATGCACATGCGCCTGGCGTGAGTTTTAAGCCACTGGGTCCGGGACATGAACCGTGGTCAACTACATGGGAGTCCAGCGACGTAGCCATTATGCTAACTGCTGGTCCCAAATCCACCATCTTATCTAGCCACCACAAATAAAAGTATAATTAAGAATCGACTTGATTATTTATTTATTTATTTATGGTCCTCAGGGGTATACACTGGTTACAGATGATTTGGGAGTTAATGGCAAGGAAGTTGCAAGTTGTACTTATCAATTTCTGCTTGTCAAATGAAAACTCATTGAAATCATGTGTTTGTATCTATAGGCTAGACGCCAAGATGATCACCTTTTTCTAGTATTCACACACACACAAAGTTCCCCGTTAAGTGATGATGTGTCCATCACTTTGCGATTAGGTCATGAGAAGACTGCTGTTCCTGTCTCCTGGATCGCTTGCTCTGGGGGAAGCTGGCTGCCGTGCCATAAGGACAGTGTATGGAGAGGCCTCTAACCAATAGTAAGCAAGGAACTGTGGCCTGTCCACAGCATGTGATTGATACTGGAGGTGGGTTCTCTAGTCACACTGAGTCTTGATTTGAATGCAGCCCTAGCAGATAGCTTGATTACAACCTTATGAAAGACCCTAAGCCAGAAACATCATGGCCCTCGGAAATCTTAAAATGCGTGCTTCTGGGACCAGCAGTTAGCATAATGGCTATGTCTCTGGACTCCCGCGTAGTCGACCGCGGTTCGCGTCCCAGACCTGGTGGCTTAAAACTCACGCCGGGCATGTGTGCGTGCGTGCCCAAGATCCCGAGAGGAGAATGGAGAAGGGATTGCGGCGTGACCATCCCCCCTGGGGGGTGATTTCTCGCTTTCTGTCTCTCTCTCTCTGTCTGTCTGGCAAGCGCACGTGCCCTATAGCAAAAAAACCTCTCAAAAAAAAATGCATGCTTCTTTTAAGTTGTGAGATAATTCTCTTATGTAGCAAGAGATAACTAATAGAGCATAATTCACCTTTATATTGCCAGAGTCTAAAAACAACACCTGGGCACAAAGAAGGTGCTGAAATCAATGTCTGCTGAATGAACAACAACAGATGTACCAGGAAAACTGAACAAAAATATCTACTATTCAAGAATATAAGGCAACCAATAAGTCTTCTGACTGAATAACTTCAACGTGAAATTTGATTTGGTACAATTAGTTTCTCTTAGAGACAGTTCTATGGAAATGAAGAGAAGTTTCATTGACATTGTAACTGACACATTTGTGGACTGTGTTCATGTTGGCACAGTTGTTCAAGCTGTATTCTCTATGACTTCCAAGCCAATGCCAGGCAGCTGGGAAAGCATATGTTTGAGAAAGTTACGAAGAAGCAACCTTTTGCAAAGAATGGTCTCTCCCAAATGAGAAACTACAATGATCATTTGATAATCTGCAATCTCTCTATTCACTGTCTAGGAACTACCAAAGACTACAGTGAACTTGATAAGACTACCTTTCAGGTTCTTTTTATAAAACCAGGCATGTTCTATCTGTACATTCTTCTCATTCCGAGGTAAGCGGTTTTTAGCATCCTTGTATATGCTTTTATTCAAGTGGACAGTAACTTTTGACCTGTCTTTATTCTCCTTCCCAACTCAACCAAAAGTTGCTCCTGGGCAGTGGCTGAACATAAATTTACTGTGGAACCCAGTTTTTATTCTCTTGTGGTCCCTTAGCTCAGAGTTTTGTACAGAGGTGTAGAAAAGAGATGCTGCAGTTCAGGATAGAGTGAAAAAAGAGAGGCTAATAATAGCTGTAAGCTACCTGGAAGCAGATTTAAATCACATGGGACTTTTTTACCCCCCAGCACCTCAGCCAGAAGAGGTAACATCTAATGAGGCCTCAAAATACATTTACAGGGTGAATGATGAATGTTATCTCGCCTTTGTGCTGACAGTGCAGCTCCTTCACTCTGGTCCTGGTCTTCTTTTAGTTAACAGAACATAACTCAAAAATGACTCTACCTAGGGAACCACCAGTTAGCGTAATGGCTGTGTCGCTGGACTCCCACGTAGTCGACCGTGGTTCGCGTCTCGGACCCGGTGGCTTAAATCTCACAACGGGCACGTGTGTGTGCGTGCCCAAGATCCCGAGAGGAGAATGGAGGAGAAGGGATTGCGGCGTGACCATCCCCCCTGGGGGGTGATTTCTCGCTTTCTGTCTCTCTGTCTCTGTCTGTCTGGCGAGCGCACGCGCCCTATAGCGAAAACCTCTCCAAAAAAAAAAAAAAAAAGACTCTACCTATAGGAAAAGGATGTGATTTTCCTAAGTAATCTAAGTATGGATTCATCCCCAAGAGCTGTTCCTCATTATGCTTTTTATCATACCCCATTTATTTCATTCAGTGCTTTTATTATCACAGTTGGTAATCTTATTTGCCTGTCACCCAGGCAGCAGGAAAACTCTAGAAGGACTCCAGGAAGACTCCAGAACTACTTTCACAGGACCTGAACTTGTGCCTACAAGGCCTTACCCAGCAGGCCTGAGACCCTGTAGCCACTGGAGAACGCATTGAGCATGTATGGCTAGGTAAAGAGCCTGTCACCCGCAGGCTTTGCAGGGCAGATGGGCAGCCCAAGGGCCCTCGCCGTGAAAGCAACTTCCTACAGCAGGGCCACTTACTTGCCGACAGGCCGCTGCTAGCGCTCATGGAGCGGCCTGGCTCGGGGCGGGATTTGGTGATAGATGGAATACTGACTGAGCCACTGAATACTGTCCGACTTTCCTGAGGCCGAGGGTTCTAAAAACAAAAGAAAAAGATACATTCTTCAGTTAGAAAGAAACTGATTTTCTGTAGAGAGGTCTACTTTTCACTATAATTATCGAAAAGTAAAATGATCTTGACCAGAGTAGTACTGAGTAAGGAACAGCAGATTATATAATACCTCCCACCTACAAAAGCAATAAAACACTAATATGAAGTCATCTCATTCCCATCAAGGAAAAGGACTTATACTTACGGAAATACTTATCAGTAAGTGACAAGTTTCTGGTTGTGGAAAGAGTAAGCATTAGATGGTTAGAAGTGACACTGAAGGGTAGAATTACATGGACACTTGCAGATAACTGAAACAAAGCTTTTTCTAGGTATAAGACTGTCATTTGCTCCAGATAACTGAACAGCTACTAGACAAGCCATTTACCAGAAAGTCAATTAAAATTACATTCTTCAAGAAAATGCCTTACAGATGTGGTTCTGAGAGTGCCATCTGCACGGTCATGGCCTTTGTCACCAGGCCTCTTTACTGACTCACACAGAGTAGCACTGTGAGTTAGAAACAGGACGCTGTAACAATCACTACCTGGGCAAAGTTATTTGACTTGGAAATACTTGTTTGAAAAGCTTTCTGACCAATGATTGAGTGATTCTGGTGTCTAAAGTGCAAAAATGGGGCTACAGAATGTTCTGCAAGTCATGCACAACCTGTGGACAGCACTGGTGCTGTATGTAGGATGTGCCCTCAGGGCAGAAGGCATGCAGTCTCAGCGGCCCCAACCCGCTCAGATCAGAAGGAGGCAATGGTGGAGCTGACTAAAGCGCAGAAGGAGGAATACTATTTCAATAATCATTTTAAGTCCTAGAGTAGGCCAACTACAGATACCGTATTATCGCTTTTGACATTTACAATGCTTTTTTGTTGCCACGGTCCTAGTCTCAATAAACATTTTTTGATGCAAATAACTGAAATTTTTGGTTTCTTATAAGTAGACTTATGTATATACATACATATGTGTATGTCTGGAAAATTTACCTAGTCGCTAATTTTTCTTTTATAGCACAAAAAGAGGGTAATTTTGCTAGCCCACAGTATTTCCCCCAAGCCTGCTCTGTCTTCGCCTTCATTAGCTGTTCACAAGGACATGACATAAAGGCAGCATGGTGGTTGGTGTGCATGGGCCGGGAAGGGGGTGAGTGGGTGAAACGGTCTCAGACTTGTTAAAATCCCAGTTCAAGTCTCAATTTCCTCAGCTATATTATAGAGATAATACTGGCCTCAAAGGGCTTTTCTGAGGATTAAAGTAACAATATCAGTAAGAAGAAAGCACTTTGGCCAGTTCTGCTGTGTTTTATTTTTAATCCTGCTCTAACAATGACTTCAGATAGTTTTCTGCAAGGACACCTTTCACAGTCTCTTTAGTCATTTCAAAAGAGAAATGGGGGTGGGTGGGAGGGAGAGAATTTAGGGGAAGAAAAAAGAGCAAAACATTTAATGAACACAAAAATGGAAAATTATCTATTGATGATAATGTGTATGGTAATATCTTTGACTGGACTAATATACAGCATACTCATGCCTGGAAAGTCCATTTTGTATGCTGTAAAGATGTACAGTGATTGGGACCAGCAATTAGCATAATGGCTATGTCGCTGGACTCCCATGTAGTTGGCCGCGGTTCGAGTCCCGGACCCAGTGGCTTAAACTCACGCTTGGGTGTGTGTGCATGCATGCCCAAGATCCCGAGAGGAGAATGGAGAAGGGATTGCGGTGTGGCCATCCCCCCTGGGGGGTGATTTCTCGCTTTCTGTATCTCTGTCTTTCACTCTCTGTCTGGCAAGTGCACGCGCCCTACGGGGGAAAAAAAATCCCTTCAAAAAGAGTAAACAAACAAAAAGATGTACAGTGATTAAATGTAAAAAAAATAATAATAAAAAGCAAATCTGCTTGAAGGGGGACAACCACAAATTTTTAATGCATCAAGCACAAAAACAAACAAACAAACAAACAAAAAAAACCGCCCTCTGTAATGAAAATTCAATGAAAAAAAATCACAGAATAAGTAGTCAAAGCCCAATCGTGGTCGTGCTAGCAGGAGGACACAGCTTCACGATGGCTGAGGCCAAAGGTTCAGTTCCCAGCACAGCCTAAAGCAGGTCAGGTGCAGCAGTGTGTGCCTGTGGTCCTAGATGACTAGGAGACCGGGGAGTGTGGGCAAAGGGTCATGGCATGGCAAAACTCTGTCAGAAATACCTCTCCCTCCCATATATGTACCTTCTCTTGTGCTCGATTTTTTAAAATCAAGTTTTGTGACTTTTCCTAAGTGTCAATTTGTTACATAAAGCCCATGAGTCCAACTAATTCAGAGTATAATGTACTTCCTTTTAAAAAGCACAAACTCTCATCATATGATGCTACAGGCTCACTCTTCTATAGGGTGTTCCTTTGCTATTCTATCAGAAAATCACAGATAGTCAGAGCCACTGACATACAACAAAATGTGATCAGAAAATATAGTAACCTATTCATTAAGTACTATTTAAATAGCTAGCTTTTTTAATGGCCAAAGGTAATACACATGGACTTGCAGAATACACAGCTAATAATGAAACCATAAAAAAGACAAAAAAATTTGTCATCCATAAACTCACCAGATGTTAGTAACAATTGGGTGTGTTTTCCCCCCATCTTTTCTTCCAAAAGAATTGTTTTTGAGAGTTTTTTATTTTTTTCTTTTTTTATAGGGTGCATGTGCTCGCCAGAGAGATAGCAACAGAGAGAGAGAGAGAGAAAGTGAGAAATCAGCCCCCTGGGGAGATGACCACACCACAATCTCTTCTCCTTCATTCTCCTCTTGGGATTTTGGGTACTCACACGCATGTGCCCAGTGTGAGTTCCAATTTACCAGGTCTAGGACTCAAACTGTGGTTGGCCATGTGGGAGTCCAGGGTCTTAAACACTATGCCACCTGCTGGCCCCTCAAAATAATTTTTTGGAGTTGACTACATTATGCTTTTTTTTTTTTTTTAATTCAATAGAACAAAAAGGTAACTACTATATTTTAAAATGTTAAACTGCCTCATTTTACTGCTTCAAAAATGGAATTGTTTTTAATCATTTGGGGGTCAGGATATAGTACTGCTTTTACTGGTAGCTTAAAGTATATGAAAATCAGAGAAATTAATGTATATACCTGTCATGCATTCATAATTACATTGTTTGCAGTATGATTTCTGTTTGTTCATGACTTATGTTATTTAATATAAATAGAAATCTAACTTACCAGAATTTTTGTTGTTGTTGTTGTTTGTTTTTGTTTTTGTGTTTCCTATGGGGCATGTACAGTTGCCAGAGAAAGAGAGGGAGAGGGAAAGTAAATAAATCAATCTCAGGGGGGGATGGCCAAGTCTCAATTCCTTCTCCATTCTCCTCTTGGGATTTTGGGCACATGCACACACATACACACATGCCCAGTGAAGCCACTGGGTCTGGGACTCAAACCATGTAGTCAACCATGTGTGTGGGATCCAGTCATTAGAACCACTACCCAACTGGTCTTACCTAAATGCTTTAAAAATTTTCAGCAAGAGAAGTAGTAAAAATGCTTAACCTACATTTTAAATATTTCGCCAAATGTCCTCACAATTGGTCTTGAAACAGAAAATCAGGGAATGCCACTGATATTCAGGCCCTCACCCATATATGGTCATCTCTGCTTGTCTGGGTTGACAGTTCATTTCGTCCTGGTAATTTAATGAGCACATAGTTTCCAGCTTCATTTTTTCAGTCATCTTATCATTTCTTATACTGACTGCTATTATGATTAACACTAAACTCCAGCACCTAATCTTCAGATGCCAAAAAAATATTTGTTAAATAAATGAATTATATCTGCAACCTCAATGTTCTACTTCAAATATTGGAATTAATTCAGTTGGCAATGTAATTCATGAATTTCAAATTATAGTCCTTTCTGTAGAACACATAGTGTTCGAGATAATATTGGTTTAATATTACCAATGTATGTGTGTGTGTCTGTGTATTTTAAGGAGACAAAGTACATTTCACTTGTAGTTTTTGGACAGAACAACATTTTCTGGGAGCCAATGAATAAAATGGCAGCAATTCTCCAAATAACCTGATTAATATGCTAACACTTAATGAAAAGATGACTGTCTTCTTTGATATAATATGGCATAGGTTAAATAATTTAATATATACTATAATGAAATGAAGAATACTAAAGATTTCTGAGGTTAAAAGAAGCAAGCAACAAAGAAATGTACTAATGTGGACAAAAAATAGATTTGATTATAATGAAAGTCTGGAACTAGAACCTCGGTTCTCAGTCGTCAAGTATTAATAAGTGTGAGTGCCCCAGGAGAGGCTATAGCTCAGTAAATTCACAGTACTGAAGTTCCCCACGTGCATCTGAAACACCTGAAAGAAGGTTATGGCAAGAAAACCAAAGCAAGATCAAAGCTAGTAACTAGTTGTTATTTAATGCTGGTTGAAAAACTTAAGCTCCGAATGACATATTTTGATGAACTATACATAATCGAAGTTGGCTGGCTGGATAACTGGCCCCAAATTCAACCCTTTCTCTTTTGGCTCATATATAAAATTTGCAAAGTCCATGTAATTCTTAGGGTGTTACTGTTTAAAGCAAATGCCTTTATACATTTTTTTCTCTTAAGAAAATAAAAAAAGTAAAACTGTAACAGTCAATGTTAGCAGATCCACACTCACACATATAGTAGCAGCCTTCTAAAACAGAAGCAAAGTGCATAAGATGCAGCAAAGAGAAGCTCAAGAGAGATAGGAATATTGGTTTCATTTTGTTATTGTTTTCTCCTATAACCCTTAAAACACATTGGTGTTCTTTTCTATGAAACAACCCTACCCTAGAAAGGCAAAATGTAAGCTTCTAAAATATAACAGTTACTTAGTAATATTGAGTGCTGAGATAATAAAAGAATGGTACACAGGAAAAAAATTTTTTTCTAAAAAAGGAACACTAAAACAACAACAAAAACCAGCTCACTTATCAGTCAGCTGAAGTTAAATAAACTTTGTAAAGTTACAAGAAACCAAAGCATCTGGTCCTTCATCTGGTCCTTTCGTGGTATGAATATGCTTAAAATTAGGGTAAATCTTCTACTGATAAAATAGTGTTTCTACTTATAGAAGACTAATCTCACCACTTTCATCATCTTTTAAATAAAAAGTTCTTGATTGATTACCTTATACAACATTCCTCAGGGATTCAGTCTGTGCAATCCAGAGGACTGCCATGTTACCAAACACACTAAGGTTTATTTTATTGAGGTTAATTTTGTGAAATAAAACATTTAAATGACATTTTAATTTAATGTCAGTGACAAAATGTAATTTAGAATAATTTTACAGTACAAAAAATATGGAACTGCTCACCCTATAGTTAATTTCACACAAATAAACCAAGAAATCAATGCTACTCCTCTTCTAAGTCAGAGAGAATTGTGAGAAATGAGTTTGTATAATACGATCCAAGTATTTTATTATCAATCCTTTTCTGTTTGTGGCAACACAATAAGGATCCCCCAGGGGCTATTTTTTTTTATGATGGAAACTATCATGATGGGGAAATTTTTTTTTTTGGAGAGGTTTTTGCTATAGGGCACATGCACTTGCCAGACAGAGAGAGACAGAGAGACAGAAAGCGAGAAATCACCCCCCGGGGGGACGGCCACGCCGCAATCTCTTCTCCTCCATTCTCCTCAGGATCTTGGGCATGCACGCACACGCACCCGGTGTGACTTTTAAGCCACTGGGTCTGGGACTCAAACCGCAGTCGACTACATGGGAGTCCAGCGACATAGCTATTACGCTAACTGCTGGTCCCATGATGGAGAAATTTTTTAACTGAACATTGATATACCTCCAGCACCATTTCAAAAATAAAAATTCAAATCCACCTTATTCCTCATCTTTTTTTCTCAAAAGAAGGAACAAAATAGAAACGGAAGAGGAAAACAGAAGAGGAGCAGAGTCTGGCAGAAGAGAAGCAGGCTGAAGGAGAACAATCACACAGGTGCCACCTCAGCAGTGTTACTTATTAAGTCAGGCAAAAGGAAATCCGAACGCAGTTAGTAAAAGTTAACACCTGACTCATCTGTTCATACCCTCAGAGTCATAAAGCTTGGTGTACCCGGGACAGAACGTAGAGACGGGGAATATTCAGGGTTTATGGAATCAGGAGAGAGAAATTTTTCAGCAGAATTAACAGTCATGTGATAGATGTGCTCAAAGTTGATCGGAGAGGAGATCAGACCGGAGTGATGATGAGGGGATGAATAAGGGAAACCTGGCTATCGGAAACAACAGAAAGAAGAGAAAAGGTAATGAGGTAATGAAAACGAACTCACTAGGTACATGTGACATTTCAGGCAACATGCACATAGAAAAAAAAAAGGGCAGCAATTTAAAACAGAACTGAATTGTTAATGCAATACTTTTAGGCCTCAGAAAGTTAAATTTTGTAATCCTCTTGCCAGTTACTTAACTAGACTATTTCTAGAAGATTATTCTCCTAAAATTATTATTTCGTTACTATCTTTAAGTGAATAAAAACAACTTTCAGAGATGCAAGGAGACTTACAGAATTTAATTCAGTGTTTTCTTACATGCTACAATCAAAACATGCCAAAAATCAACCAAAACCAGTAAGAATATATAAAGCAAGAAGCAGTTAAAGGACAGTGAATCTATAACACTTTGTAAGTGGACATGTTATGAAACTGTTTTTTTAGAAGTCTAAAACCATTTCTCAAGGGACCAGCAGATGGCATAATGGTTCCGTCACTGGACTCCCACAAAGTCAATTGCAGTTCAAGTCCCAGACCTAGTGGCTTAAAACTCATGCCAAGCGCATGTGTATGCATGCCCAAAATCCTGTGAGAAGACTGGAAAAGAGACTGCAGTTGTAGCTATTCCCTCTGGGAGGCGACTTCCCACTTTCTGTCTCTCTGTGTCTCTCTCCAGAGGACACATGAGCCATATAGCAAAAATCTCTCAAAAAATTTTCCTAGTATTTATAGATTTGTAATATGCATCTGTGTTTATTGATTTTTTTTTGAGAGGTTTTTGCTATAGGGTGCGTGCGCTCACCGGAAAGACAGAAGATAAAGAGACAGAAAGCAAGAAATCTCCCACCAGAGGGGATGGCCACGCTGCAATCCCTTCTCCTCCATTCTCCTCTCGGGATCTTGGGCACGCACGCACATGTGCCCAGTGTGAGTTTAAGCATCGGGTCCAGGACTTGAACTGCGTTCCACTACATGGAGTCCAGTGACATAACCATTATGCCAACTGTTGGTCCCTGCTTTTATTGATCTTATTGCCTATGACAAAAATAGTAACTATGGAATATACTGATTACTGGTCTACCCATAAGCAGCCCAAGCCTATTTCCATTTAGACATCCAAAAGAGTAAGTTTGTGTATATTCCCTCCCCTCCCAGAGGGCATGTGTGTGTTCACTGGAAAGAGAGAGAAAGAGATATGGAGAGAAAGTGAGAAAGCACTTTCCATGGAAGATGATTACACTGCAATCCTTTCTCTTCAATTCCTCCCTCCTTTTGAGATTTCGAGCATGCATGTACACAGACCTGGTGTGTTTCTCAAGCCACCAGGTCTGGAACTTGAGCTGTGTAGTCAGCCATGGGGAATCCAGCTGCCTTAACCACTAAGTCAATGGCTGGCTCCACTTTTGCTTTTAACAAGGGAAAAACCTTTTCTTCTGGTTCAGATATATTTTTTAAAAACAAAATAATGTAACGCTGAAGATATTTTCTAAAAATGCTTTTGAAGCTAAGAATTCTAATTTTTCAGATAAAATAAGTACTTCTGAGTATTAATAAACCCTCCCTTAATGGTCAGTTACCTTCTCTAATGGGAATTGTCCAGAGTCAGTTTTTTGTTTTTTGTTTTAGATTTTTTTGCTATAGGGCATGTGCACTCGCCAGAAAGACAGAGAGAGACAGAGAGACAGAAACTGAGACATCACATTCCAGGGGGGATGGCCACGCTGCAATCCTTTCTCCTCCATTCTCTTCTCGGGATCTTGGGCATGCATGCACACATGTCTGGCATGAGCTTAACCCACTGGGGATGGAACTTGAACCACGATCGACTACATTGGAGTCCAGTGACATAGCTGTTATGCCAACTGTTGGTCCTCCAGAGTCAGTATTTGAAGAACAGCTGTCTCCAGGAAAACACAACCCCTTTAGTAGAGGCAGAGGTTGAATGACTTCCTGGAGAGAACACTGACTGAGTCGAGGATGCATTTATGTTCTTATGAGCTGAGATGAGATTGTTTACTAAAAAGGTCTCATGGATTATCTAGGCTAAAACACAAAAGCTCCTAAATAACAAAGTGTTTTTTTCTCTAGAGGGTATGAGTAAAAACAGTATATTTTTACTTTCAGAAAAATCAAAAAGTAAAAAACCTATTGATGGATATGTAACTTTAAGAAGTGAAATTGCTTCTTAAAACCTGAGGAGGTCTGTAAGCTAGAAATTTTATTTTCATTAACGATTTTAGAAATGGGGAGGGTGGGGGGGAACAAGCATTTAGCATAAAGGCTGTCGCTGGACTCCCATGTAGTCAACCATGGTTCGAGTCCTGGTCCTGGTGGCTTAAACTCATGCTGGGTGTGTGTGCATGCGTGCCCAAGATCCCGAGAGGAGAATGGAGAAGGGATTGTGGCGTGGCCATCCCCCCTGGGGTGTGATTTCTTGCTTTCTGTCGCTCTGTCTTTCTAGTGAGCACACAAACCCTATAACAAAAACCTCTCCAAAAATATGAAATAGGGTGGGGCTGACAGGTGGCATGGTGGTTAAGGTGCTGGATTCCTATGTAGCCGACTGCAGTTCGAGTTCTGGACCTGGCGGCCTGTCTTCTCAGGGCCAGCAGGGGGCATGGTGGTTGAGGGTGTTGGACTCCCAAATGGCCAACTGTGGTACGAGTCCCGAACATGGCAGTTTGGTTTCTTACTTTCTCTCTCTCTCTGTCCCTCTCTGGTCAAATTAAAATAAATAAATAAATAGATAAATAAAGCTAAATAAAATAATTCTTTAAAAAAAAAGAAATGAGTAAAAGCGCTACAAGAAATATAATGTGCTAAATAAAGTAAATTTTCTAGGGGTAACATTATTGGAGAAAAACCTGCCCTTTGTATCAACAATCACTACATGGATGAACGCAGTTTGAATACCGGACCCAGTGGCTTGAAACTCACACTGGGTACATGTGTATGTATGCCCAAAATCCCAAGAGGAGAATGAAGAAGGGACTGCAGTGTGGTCATCCCCCTTGGGGGTTTTGATTTCTCACTTCCCCTCTCTATCTTTCTGTCTCTCTCCTCTCCTGTGAGTACATGTGCCCTCTGGCAAAAACCTAAAAAAATTAAAAATTAAAAAAGTAAATGATTAAGAAGATTCAAGAAAGTTGCCAGTATGTATTTCTAAGACATACACACCATTTTACACGAATTGCTTATTTTTCGTTTATATTCTCAATAATACACAAATGATAAATATCAACTATAGGAAATAGGAAAACAACCCCTTAGCCTTACTGTCCCTTCCATAATTAAGAAGCAAATAATATAATTTCAAGATTGTTTGGTATAAAAGAAAGAATTAAGGATCTGAAGACTTCTAATAAACTTTCGAAGCTGTAAGTATTTCATAGGAAAGCAATGCTGATTTGCATAAGTTAAAACATAAAAATGCCTGGGGCACATGCTCTTTGCACAGATGGCAACACATGGTTTGGGCATTTAAAAGCTTTTATATATGTTAACATCAGATAACTTTAATTCATCTGTATTTTTTGAAAACAGTTAATAAAATTCTATTTCACTGGAAAAAACATTAAATCTAAAAATATATTAAAATATCCCAAGCTTTTCTATTAGTAGATATATACACAAGAGACAGACATGCATATTAATATTATTTTCAGATATGCATATTATTGTACTGTTTACCAATGTGTACCCTGAGATAGGCATAGTCTGGGTACCTAGTAAGTGCTCAAGAAATATTTTTTAGGTGATTAAATGGATGTCTACAGAAAGCTCCAGCTTATATGAAATGAGAAAAGTCATGTGAAAACAAAATATGGCTTATGAAGAATAAGAATCCAGACATACAAAATCTTTGATGCATACTACATGTACAGGTGAAAGAACGGGTTTCAAAAATTTAGACCAACTTCTTGTCCTGGAAACACAAGAGTGCTTCCATGATACGAAAACAGTAAAAGAACGAAAGATATGTTAAAAACTGGATTGAATTAGAGGCCAAAAAGCCATTTGTGTTACTGCCAAAGAGAACCAACAAGGTGGTCATTGGTTATCAAAATCAGGTGACAACAAATACTAAAAATGAAGAGGTCTAATTGGAATAAATAGAAGGGCATGGATTAAGGAGTCAGGGGATGAATCTTTGGGGAAACACTATGTGAACTTATTTTTCTTAGTAACAAAGACTAGACACTATTTTGAACAAAAAATAAAATTATATTTCGTTAAGTGATGGGAGGGTAAGGGAAGAAAAAGCAGAATAAGGAGAAATACTTTAATGTAAACATTTTTATGATGTTTGAAATTTGACATTTTAGCATCAAGGTGTATGGTCTTGTAGTGTAGGAAGGACTAGGATGTTAGCAAATTGATTTTTCAATTGCTAATAAACTGCCAATGGCAGAAGAATAACAAACAGGAGAACACTATTAAATACTGAAACTATCCCATCTTAAGGAAAAATACTATAGTATTTGAGATCCAATAGATTTTCTACAATTCTTTTTGCTATATTGTTAGAATACATAATATAAAAAATTCTTTTTTTGTGTACTAAAATAAATCAAGTGAAAGAACTTTTAATTTTAAAAGAACTGCTTGTTTGTTTATTTACTTATGTGACAGATTTTTGCTATAGGGTGTGTGTGCTTGCCAGAGAGACAGAGACAGAAAGCCAGAAATTACCCTCTGGGGGGATGCCCACAATCCCTCTCCACTCTCCTCCTGGGGTCTTGGGCACATATACACATGTACCCGGCATGAGCTTTAAGCTTCCAGGTCCAGGACTCAAACCATGAATGACTATGTGGGAGTCCAGTGATGTAACCACTACGCCATCTGCTGGTCCCCACAAGGACAGTATTTGATGAAACCTCGTTAACTACTCAAATAATTTTGTATTCAATTATGGGTTGTTATGTAACATATGTATGTGCTTGAGATTTGTATCCCTCTATCAGTCTACATTACTATGTATCAAGTACTTAAAACACTACTATTTCAGAATTCCAAAGTAATCTCAAAAAGCTTAATTGAAATAGTACCTAACATTTGATCTATCAAATATAAGCTATAAGTATGTTCACATTTCAACTATTTATCATAATATAAAACATTCTCTTTATTAAGTTATTTTGTGCCTGACACTGTAACTTCCATAGGAAAGAATGACAGAGGTTTTGGACTGTACAGTTTTTTTTTTTTTTTTGGACAAGTTTTTGCTATAGGGCATGTGCGCTCACCAGAAAGATAGAGACAGAGAGACAGAATGAGAGAAATCACCCCCGAGGGGGAATGGCCACGTTGCAATCCCTTCTCCTCCATTCTCCTCTCGGGATCTTGGGCACACATGCACACGCGCCCAGTGTGAGTTTAAGCCACCCAGTGTGAGTTTAAGCCACCGGGTCCAGGACTCGAACCGTGGTTGGCTACATGGGAGTTCAGTGACAAAGCCATTACGCTAACTGCTGGTCCCAATTTGTTTGGTTTTTGACAAATGTCTGAATTTTATATTTTCCTCATTAGGTATTGCCATCATGTACCTGAGACATACAGTGACATACTGAGAGAAACATTTCTTCATTACACTCGTTCAGCATGTGAAGTGTATGTATGTATTTAAACCTATATACATTTTCCCTCACTTCCTCCCCCACTGACTCCTCACCCCACTCATGTTCACATTTACTATTTATTTCTCTTACCATGGGCAGGTCTTTTAGGATCTGTATTCCATCTCCAGGACCCATGTGTGCTATATGGTTAAAATTAGTTGGGTTAGAAATTAATTTATTTCTCATTTCAGGATCTCGTAGCATCTCCCTGTAGACAAAACACATAAGTTTAGACAACTTTTCCACCGTCAATGTAGGCAGCTTAAGAAAAAAATTTTAAGCACTACATTATTTTTATTTTTTATAATGCTAAAACTTAAATCTTGTTAATAAGTACATAATTAGAATAATAATATACCCAGTTAAAACTCAATTCCTTAGAATGTCTTATTTTAAATTTTAAATTAAAGATTTTATGAGTTGGGTGAGAAACCAGAGAGCATCCATTTAATACTTAGATATCAAAGGTATACTCTACAGATAATTCTGAACATTTTATGTATGTTTTTAAAAATAACTAACGGGGGGAGGGGAGCCAGCAGGTAGCACGCTGGTTAAGGTACTGGACTCCCACATGGCTAGCTGTTGCTTGAGTCCCAGATCCGGCAGCCTGAAAATTATACCCAGTGCATGTATGCCCAAAATCCCAAAGGAGAATGGAAGAGAAGAAATTGTGGCATGGCAGTCCTCCTTGGGGGTGATTTTTCACTTTTCCTCTCCCTGTCTCTCCTTCTGGCAAGCACACATATGCTATGGCAAAAAAAAAAAAAAAAAAAAAAAAAAAAAAAAAAAAATTAAATTTTAATGTTAATTAAAAAAACAAAAAACAAAAAAACAACTAATGGGCTAGATAGTGGTGTGGCAGTAAAATTTGATGCTCTGTGAGGCACTTCCTTTTAGGAAGGGTCCTGGCTCAAGTCTAGAGACTTCCCTGGATCATAGGCAAAAATTAGTCACATGGTGCCATGATCCAGGACTGGCTGAAGGCTGGATGTAGATCTGGGCTTTCAAAACCCTGTTGGAGTTTCTCTCCCTCTCTCTCTCTCTGTGTCTCATGAAACAAACAAACTTAAAAAAATAATAACACTTCAGAAATGTAACTGGAAACACTAAAATTCTATTTGCTCATCAACTTCTTAAATGTATATTGCTTTTACAATATGCACAAATGTAATTTATATTTCAGAAAGGCACACATTCCAAATATTGTAACGATTCCATATACATACAGAAGTAAATAAAAATAAATATGATACACTTTGATCTAGTACATACTCACAGCTTTGAGAATATTAGTTTAAAAGGACAGTGAGAAGCTACGTTCATTATTGCAGTTTTGTTTTGCTTTAGACAGGAAGTTGCTGTCATGATCTTTCTGTTTCAACTTCCCAGCTGAGATTACAGGTACAAGCCACCGTGCCGGGTCTTTAGGTTGAACCAGGAACCCAACCCAGGCCTTTTACATGGTCCCACCTGCAGAGCTGAGGCTTGGTAGTGTGTGCCACCACAAATGGCCCTATTATTATAGTACTTGACACCACAGGTGAATGACAGATTTCCAGGTATCCGATTTTCCTTCCGAACCACATATAGTATTATCACTAAGTAGTCCTTCAGAACCTACAAAAGCATGTGTGGATGATAAGTATAAAATACATATCGACCTCCTCTGTTGCATCCTTTCCTCTTCCGGAACTCTGAAGGAATAACGCCGCTTGTTGTTGATATTTCTAACCATTTGTTTCCGACTATTATCAGATGTTTCAGGAACTACCAGTTCATCCCCTTCTGTTAAAAAAAAAAAAATTCAAAGAACAAAGAACAATGATTTTTAAAAAAATTGTGTCTCTTTTTTTTTTTTTGCTAGAAGGCATGTGCTCTTGCCAGAAAGACAGAAAGAGACAGAGAGACAGAAAGCAAGAAATCACCTCCCAGTGGGGATGGTCATGCTGCAATCCTTTCTCTTCTATTTTCCTGTTGGGATCTTGGGCATGCACGCATACATGCCTGGTTTGAGTTTAAGCCACCGGGTCCAGGACTTGAACCATGCTCGACTACATGGGAGTCCAGCAATGTAGCCATTACGCTATCTGCTGGTCTCGCTAAATCTTTTTTATCCATCAGTCTCCAAGACAATGCAAACAATTATTGTACATACAAGTACATTCAATTTTGATTTTTTAAAAGCCATATGTTGACAGTGCTAGTAAATAAGTAATAATTTTCAATAGAAAACTTTCACATTTGATTATAAACATAAAATGGAACAATATTCCTAGAAAAAAAAACTATAGTTGCCCTGATCTATCTTTTTTACTAGTTACCCACTCCAGTATCTTTACATTACTTTTTCTCTCCCTTCAGGTACTGGTTTCAACAGCCTTTGATGTTAAAATGTTGCTACCGTTAATATACACAGTCATCAGGTATAAATGGCAAATTATTAATGTAATAATTAAATTTATACATGATAAAAATTTTCCTTGAAATATTTACTCTAAGAAGGACTAGCAGATGGCATAGCCATTATGTTTCTGGACTCCCACTTAGTCAACCATGGTTCAAGTCCCAGACCCGACAGCTTAAAACTCATGCTGGGCGCATGTGTGTGCATATCCAAAATCCTGCGAGGAGAATGAAGGAGAAAGGACTGCACTGTGGCCATTCCCCTGGAGGGTAATTTCTTTTTCTTTTTCTCTGTCTCTTGGTGAACACACACTCCCTATAGCAAAAATTTCTCTTAAAAATTTACTCAGAGATGTTTTCATTATCTTTCATTATTAAAGGCAAGAATTTGTTGCTGTTTCTATCCTTCTGATCTTGGTTGTAGATATTTAATTGTATATATTCTGAAACCCAATGACTATCTTATCCTATTTTCAGTTTTATTATCTATAAGTAAACAGAACTGTCAGCCAGAGACTCCCCAAGCATGCTAAGTGAACACACTCTATAAAATAAGTAACTGCATTCATATAACAGGATAGGTGATGCCATTATATAAGTAAGATACAAAGAAATAGAAATGCTAATCTTCGAAAGTTTTTAATAGCATTAAATCTGAAGTGAGAAGGAGGGGGGAAGAATACAAATAGACATAATAAGAAAAGCCGAAGATGCTAATTAATAAAAAAGTAATGTGCATCTTGTAGTTTGATGATATAGCTTAATCAGATTGTTTTCCAAACAAACATTAAAATAGAATTTTCTTTTTTTTTTTTTTTTTAGAAATCTTTGCTATAGCGTGCATGTGCTCGCTGGAGAGAGAGAGAGAGAGAGAGAGAGAGAGACTGAAAACAAGAAATCAACCCCCAGGGTCCCAATATGAACTTCAGGTTGCTGGATCCAGGACTTCAACTGTGGCAGGCCATATGAGAGTCCAGCACCTTAACCACTATACCACCTACAGGCCCCAAGTATAGAATCTTTAAGGTGATGAAAATATATGACACAATTTTGGAATTTGAGAATTATGAGGACAAAGCTGGTCTTGGTAAGTTATGGTAGCAATGGGAGGGTTAAATTTTTTTTTTTTTTTATTAATTTGCTATAGGGCAAGTTTGCTTGCCAAAGAGACCAGAAATACACACACACACACACACACACAGAGCACATCCCTAGTACATTCCTCAAACTGCCAGGTCCTGGACTTGAACCACACAGTCATACATTTGGGATCCAAACCACCTTAACCACTATACCACTGGCTGGCCTAAACAATGGGAAATTTTGAACAACCAGTGAGCTACAAGAGCATTTGGTCTTCCTGAGAGATTAAGGAGAAAACCAGACACAGAAAAAGAGAGGACTTCTTGGAAACAAGATTTCCTTCCTTTGTCAAAGGATGAGAAAACTACATTGAAATTCTATTAGGACTTCCTTCTCTAAGATCCACCACTACTCCTAGCCTAGAAGAGGAAGATGAAAACACAGGGAAAGACAAGTTGGAGCAGGTTTGTCCTATGGACACAAAATGGGTACAGACACATTTTAGGACCAGCATAGCCATACATGGTGAGAATAGGGTAGATCTGACCGTATACACATATGTGAAATTCCTCTAAGAAATACTGAGTTGTTAAAAGTAATGATGTATTTTTTTCTATGCAAAAATGAGTGTTCATAACTTCAGTCCTATAGATTTTGGTTAGGTTCTATGGTACTAAAGTATAGAAGAAATATTCAGCTGTAATTTCTTTACTAACCTACATAATCCACAGAAAAATTATAAGATTTGTCATAATCAAGTATGTTGCTTATAAATCTATGCAAGCTTAAATGTTAGGTTGTCAGGAAAGTCATGACATATTTGTCTATGCAAAAATGCATCAAGACTTTCCCAACAATGCAATAAAATTACTTTTTGTCCAGTAGTTTATCTTACTGTATTAAGGGACTGTGGGGGCTGGCAGGTGGCATGGTGGTTAAGGTGCTAGACTCCCATATGGTCGACCATGGTGCAAATGGACTTGGTGTCTTGCTTTCTCACTTTTCCTTTTTCTGTCTCTCTGGCTCTCTCTTCTGGTCAAATTAAAAAATAGTAACGGCAAATGGAATGAAATAAATAATTCTTTAAAAAGAGACTATACCAGTATTCAAGAGCATAGATTTTAAAGTAAGATACATCTGAGTTTAAATCTAGTCTCTTGTACTTATTATTCATGTGACCTTGGGCAGTGACCTTAGAAATAATATTTACCATAAAGTTATCCTATTAATACACATATTTCTTACCTGCCATCTTATTTTTGAAATATATTAACCTAATGGTTTCCAACCCTAAAAGATTTAAGGATCCTTCACTGTTTAAGGGTCGAACCTAAAACAATAAAAAATAAAATTAGCATTTCAACACAACCTTTAAAAATTAAATCATAAAACATCTTACCTATTTATAAAGCATACACTACTAAGACTCTTCATTTATTTACTTCAAAATACAGCCCTCTCAGAAAAATCAACAAAAAATTAATAATTCTGACTGAAAGGTATATTATTATCATTTGAACAAACTAATATAATAATATTTTAAAGGAAGAATATTTTGGGCAATTACTTATACAGAAATACATTTAAATCTTTTTTTTTTGAGAGATTTTCACTATAGGGCGCGTGCGCTCGCCAGACAGACAGAGAGAGACAGAGAGACAGAAAGCGAGAAATCACCTCCCAGGGGGGATGGTCACGCCGCAATCCCCCCTCCTCCATTCTCCTCTCGGGATCTTGGGTACGCACGCACACGCGCCCGGCGTGAGTTTTAAGCCACCGGGTCCGGGACGCGAACCGCGGTCGACTACGTGGGAGTCCAGCGACATAGCCATTACGCTAACTGCTGGTTCCCAATACAGTTAAATCTTAAATTTGACTTTTAAAAGCCATTAGTGACCAAATACTTATAATAAGAAAATATCAACACATCTGGACTAGTAGGTAGCGTGGTGGTTAGGGTGCTGGATCCCACATAACCGACTCCAAAGTTTGAGTCCTGGACCCAATGACTTGAAAGGCGCACCAGATGCATGTGCACGTGTGCTGAAAAGCCCTAGAGAATGGAGAAGAAGGGACTTCAGCATGCCTGTGCTCCTTGAAGGATGATTTCCTACTTTTCCTCTCTCTCTTTCTCTGTCTCTCTGTCTCTCTAACTCAAATGGCTGAAAACCTGTGTTCCCTGTGTCCCATCAATTCTACTCTGAGGCAAATGACTTATACAAACCCTATGGCAAAAATCTTAAAAACAAACAAAATACATCTGCTTTTGAACTCTTATTATCAAAAACTACATGGGCACATGTGAAGGAGATTTAAGGAGATGAAAGCACAGAAGACTAGGAGAAGAGACTGTTGATAAATAGAGATAAAGCAACTGGCTACATGGAATCGGTAAAATTGAATCCTTACTTTATCATGCACAAAAAAAAATCAATTCCAAATGGATTAAAGACATACAAGTAATAGGTAAAGCTTTAAAATGTCTGTAAGAAAATAAAGGCTGTATCTTTCTGATTTTGTGGTAGACTGAGCTTCTTAAAGAAGAGAAAAAAGTGCAAAATCCCAGGAGAATGGAGAAGGGACTGCAGCATGGTCATCTTCCCTGCTCCCTGGGGCTTGATTTCTCATTATCCCTCTGTCTCTGTCCCTCTTTGGTAAGCACAAATTGGCTGAGACCAAAGAAAGAAAGAAAGAAAGAAAGTGAACGGGGCCAGGTAACAGGTAGCATGGAGGTTAGGTGCTAGATCCCACATGGCCTATTGCACGGTTCAAGTCCTGGATCCAGCAGCTTGAAAATCATGTTGGGTGCGTGTGAGTATGTGCCCAAAATCATGAGAGGAGACTGGAGGAGAAGGACTGTGTCATGGCTACCCTTTTTTGGGGGTGATTTCTTACTTTCCCTCTCTCTATCTCTGTTGAGCGTATGTGCCCTATAGCATAAACAAAACAAGAACAGAAAATGAAAAAGGTGACCAATCCAACAAAAATATGAGCAAAAAACGCGACTAGGCAATACATGGATGAGGAAATATGATGAATAAACATACAAAAGGTTTGCAACCACACAATTAATTGGAGACATTCAAATTAACCTCTTCAATGAGATGCCACTTTATCACCATTAACAAAAAACCAGCACTTCTAATAATAGCAAGTATTAGAATGTGGGTCACTAAGACCTCTTATATACTGATAATGGTGATAGCCACTGTACAATTAACTATTGAAAATAATGTGACACTATCTCAAACGGCTGAAAAACTGTGTTCCCTGTGTCCTATCAATTCTACTCTGAGGCAAATGACTTAAAACTCCTGCACAAACCTACATAAAAAAAATCAGAAATGTTCACAACAAAAAAAATGTTAGGAAATAATTCAAATGTCTACCACTCACTCAGAGAATGGATAAACAGTAACACATTCCCCCAATGGAATCTTTTGTAGTAATGAAAGCAATGATCTGTAGTATATACAACAACATATAATAATAAAGGAGTAAAAAAAATGAACACTCATTATAAAATTTTTATAAAGCTCAAAACCAAGCAAACTAAGTAATATATTGTCTGGGAATATTTAAATATGGAAAAATTCTGTATTTTAAGAAAAGCAAAACAAAAATAGACACAGTATGCAGGATAATGATTTTCTTCAGGGAAAGGTAGGGTTATGGGATAAGAGAGAAACACTCAGGTAGATACAGTTAATACTGATAACTTTCTGGCACTTAAATTAGGAACTGGGTTCATGAGTGATCACTTTATTATTATGTGTCATAAATTTCAAATATTCTTTCATATACTGGGTTGTCAGAAATGTCATGACACATTTTTGCATAAAAAAAAAGTCATGACTTTTCCAACAACCCAATACATCGCAAAATTACATGGTAAGAACGAAACAGAAAAGTAATTGTAACCAGTTCAAATTTACAAACCAGAGGACCATATGTTAATTGCTTTACATAAGGTAACTTCAAAACATTTGTGAGGACCAGCAGTTGGCGTAATGGCTATGTCACTGGACTCCCATGTAGCCGACCACGGTTCGAGTCCTGGACCTGGTGGCTTAAACTCATGCTGGGCACATGTACAGGTGTGCCTAAGATCCCGAGAGGAGAACAGAGGAGAAGAATTGTGGCATGGTCATCCCCCGGGGGAGTGATTTCTCGCTTTCGGACTCTCTTGTCTTTCTGGCAAGCACACGTGCCCTATAACAAAACAAAACAAAACTCTCCAAAAAGTTTGTGAAAAAATGGAATTGATGTATGAGTTTATTTTGGTGAAAAAAAAAAATCCACATGTGCATAGTTTTTTTTTCATAATATAAAAACTTTCCCTGAACTTTCTGAAGGTTTCTTGGTATAATGTGGCAGAATATCCAGAGCTTTTTTAATTGCTGACAGTTTAAAATTAAGGAAATTAAAAAAAATTATTTTGCCATAGGTGCATGCTCCCTTTGGAGAGAGACAGAGACAGTGAGAGGGAAAGTGAGAAATTACTCCCAGAGGGGAGTAATCCCTCCTGGGATTTTGGGCATGCCTGCACATGTGCCTCGCACAATTTTCAAGCCACCAGGTATGGGACTAAAACTGCAGTTGGCCATGTGGGAGTCCAGCACCTTAACCACTACACTCTGATGGGCTCAAGAAGTTTTTTTAAAGACAGGTCCTAGGGGGCAGCAGGTGGTGTGGTGATTATAGGGCTAGATTCCCACATGGACCACGGTTTGAATCCTGGGCCTGGTGGCTTGGAAAACGTGTGTGTTTGTATATGCGTGCCCAAAATCCTAGAAGAAAAATGGAAGAGAAAGGACTGTAATGTGGCCATTCTCCCTGGGAGATTTCTCACTTTCTCTCCCACTGTCTCTTTCTGTCTCTCTGATGAGTGCATGTGCTCTATGGTAAAAACCTTAAACAAACAAATAAATAAATGCAAGTCCTTCCTGCCTCAGCCTCTTGACTCAGTAGGATTATAGGCACCATGCCATACTCTTAGGTTAGATCCTTAGGTTAGGTTAGACAAAGAATCGAATGCAGGCTTCCAATTTAGTCCCAGCCTGTGGAGTACAGAATCTTAGAACTGAACTGTGCTGGGCCTGAGACGAGCTTGAAATATTACGTTAGCTACTTTATTTCACCTCTTCCAATAAATTCTACCCCAACCAATGATTCCTGCTATACATATAATATATGAAGACAATATTTTCACAAAATAGTAGTTCAACCTGTAATTATAAAAATTCTCTTTATGCAAACCAAACATAGGGAAATATTTTTAAATACTGGGAAATACTTTTTAAAATATTATTTTATTAGGAATACCTGAAACCTTTATTTTTTAATGATGAAACAAACCAGTTTTGGTTCTAAATGTATTTTTCTAGTCTGTGAAAACTGTTCTCCCAGGGTTAAACATTATGTGAAAGCCAGTTATAATTATTAATAATAATCAAATACTCTTCAAAGTGTCTTAATCCAGAAGCAGAAATACTAACATTTAGCCTCTAGGGGATAGTCTAGTTATTAATGATAATAATCATACTTTACATATAGAAACTGTAATAACAGTAGTATAAATAGCAATAAAATTAACCAGCTTGATATTTGTTTCTATTTTCTTACTCTTTGCTAAGTCCCAAATTACCAATGATAAATGCCAAAAAATGATGAACTAATAAAAAAAGCTAACTAGTCAAATATTCATGTTTTCATTTATGTTTACTAATTAGCTTAGCCCATATTTTGACGGTAAGTTACCTTTTTGAGAGGAAGAGTCTGAATCCATTCCATGGAGTTGACATCAAAGATATCAACTGCATTTTCACTATACACCGAGAGATATGGTGCATTGTAACCTGGGAGAAGGGAAGGCGGGAACAGCTGCTGATTACCTTTAACTATTAAACCCAAAACATTCTAGAAGTTCTAAGGTAAATAATTATAAAGTGGAATCCCACTCAAATCCTATTGTAATCATATTATAGTCATATCAGACATTTTTGAGGTAAACAGAACACAAATCATAAATCAGAACTGATAGAATATGGCTCAGATTATATAGTTATCATAATACAGAAAGATTCCGTAAAAGTCCCTTGCCTGATACTAGTCCTAGAACAGAATTTCATTATATTTTAATTTTGATTCTTAAAGTGGTTATTGACAGTGAAACAAACTTACACAGAGATTTTCAGGTATGTATTCTAGTCGCAGTTACGAATGTATGATAAAGCTGATAAAGCATCTTAGAAAGTTACACGAATGGGGTAGATGCTCACTGCTATATAACTGAATTCTTATTCAACAATAAAGTATTCAACAATTAATGCCCTAATAGTTCTTGAATGCATGAAATAAGATATTTAAAATATATTATCTATAGATAAAAATGTAAAACCCAAGTAACATTTCTTATGGATGCTACATAGCATCTTTATATAACTGATTAAATAGTTCACTTAGTAACTTCTCTAGAATAAGGCCTTTGAATTATTTTGTAAGCTTACTATATTGGGGGGACACAATGAAGATAGTGATTTATGGTTCCCCAAAAATATGACATAGGATTTAAAAAAAAAGTTGCCATAAAATATCCGAGGCCCAGCTACTGTACAAGGCTGAGACCCTGGTTCAGATGCCAGACCAATATACACGGGCTGGATGTGGTAGTATGCACCTGGAATCCCAATTATCTGGGAGGCTGAAGCAGAGGACAGCAGTGGCAAGATGCCCTCAAAAGTACTTATCAATCTCTCTCCCTTCTTTCTCGGTATGTACATGTATGCTCTCTTTATTATTAAAAAAAAAAAATCAATAGAAAGATTAGTTTCAAGTATGTGCGTATGTTAATAGCTAACTCTGCTCACTTAGCCTAATGACATATGGTTACTTTACATAAGCAACATAATAAATGTTAGAAAAATTTTAAAGACAACTTTTAAAAAATAACCTGCTATTGACAATGACTACATTTAGGAGAGGAAGTGAAAGGAAAAGAGAGAGACAGAAGATAAGACACATAAGAAATTCTTACAACAAGAGGAAGGATTTGCTGGCCACATCAATTCCTGTTGTCTAGATCTTCGGCCCTGGCAGTCAGTGTATATGCCAATGCTGTTAAAACACAGCAGATATTCTTTACTGGAGATCTCAACTGCGCAGATAGCATCCATTGGTTGGTGTGTAATAAAAGATAGTGTGTGGTCGTTTGAATGGAGCATACTGTATGGACTTCCTTCTCCATTCAAAGGGTATCTTAGAAATCCTGACTGGAATCCCACACAGAGGTGTTCACTGAAGATTGCCATCCACTGGACATTATATGGGACTTGAATTTCCTTAAACTTTCGGTGACGGGTCTTGCTCTGAAATAGTTCGTAACAGAGGACCTGCCTTTTCATAGCCACACACAAACATGTGAGAGCTCCATGGCGCACCTTTCCAGATGTTATGGTTTGACACCCTTTAGTTTCTGCCAGCTTGTAAAAATCAGTCTCTCGCCCGTCCAAAGCTGACATAGGAAAAAGTCTTACATGACGATTTCGTCCTGAGATCACAGCAACAAGCTGGTCATTTGGAATGAGTTCAATCTGATGAATCTTCTTATTGTCACCAACTCTAATAATTTCTATACACAGAAACAGTAATATAGCAAATGTAGTTTTTACTTATTAATCATATACCAATTATATTTAATTTATAATAAAGACAAATATATACATAGGAGAATAAGAGATCAGAAATCACAGGGGGAAAAAAGGAATACAATTAAACCCATTATAAGATAATTTAACTCATTCACAGAAAATATTAAATTTAGCACTGAGATTACTGATAGTCAGGGCAAAGACTTCTTGTGTAAAAGCATACCAAATCTTCAAGAAAACCCTTTTTGCTTGTACTAAATTCTAGAAAAGTTCACCACGGGGTTCCTATTTTTCAAAACCAAGTAACTAAGTAACTTATATTTCCCTGAAAGTATTTCTATGGGTAACAAACTAATAAAGCTTAAGTGTACTATTTTCTCATAACTTAACTTGATATAATGATAGAACTTAGCCTATTGCACTTATGAATGTCCACTTAAATTTGTTTCTCATTATTTCTCCTAGCATTTAATTTTTTTTCAGGGAGAAAAAAAAAAGAAAAACAACAAAACTATCCCCAACTAGACTGGTGAGAAATGTATTCATGTTGGAACATTCACTTTACAAGCTAAGTGATGTATATGATTGAATGTATAAAAGAAATTAAAATTTAAAAAATAGTTTAAAAATCTGTTGTACTGACCTACAGTTAAACAAATAAACATACTTTAATAGATGCTACCTCTTATAATACTAACAGAACAATGGCAAAATCAAATATTTTGTCCATCTTTAGAAATGCAGTCTGAGTTTATTCAGCAGAACTGGTAAATAAAATGACACAAGAAAGACAATATGAACTTTACATTTTAGAACTCAGGGAGATTATAGCGATTTAAAAAATAATCTTTGATTATTAATCCTATCAAATTAGGTTTTGGAAATTTCTACATTAGAATAAAAGAAAAAAATCTGATGGTCTTTAGAATTTAGAGTCTAGAGTTAAGAATTTTCATACAACATATAATTTAACATTACTCCAAAATAATTAAGTTTCCTCTTACCATCTTTGGTGACATGCACAACAAATAACCCTTCTTCATTTCCCAAAGCTATCCTTTCATGATCTATGTAAGACATAAATAAGAAACATTCTCATTTAAAAACCAAGTAAGGCTAATAAAATAAACTAGATAAGAAGGAAATTTGATGTAAAAATGGAAAAAATATAATAACAATTTATATTATTAAATTTCCTTTTAGACTATAGTGATAAATTATAATCCTTTTTTTTTTTTTAACATTCTTGCCATATGGGGGAACCAGCAGTTAGCGTAATGGCTATGTCACTGGACTCCCACGTAGTCGACCACGGTTCACGTCTCGGACCCGGTGGCTTAGAACTCACGCCGGGCACGTGTGTGTGCGTGCCCAAGATCCCGAGAGGAGAATGGAGGAGAAGGGATTGCGGCATGACCATCCCCCCTGGGGGGTGATTTCTCACTTTCGGTCTCTATGTCTCTCTCTGTCTGGCGAGCACATGCGCCCTATAGCGAAAACCTCTCAAAAAAACCCCAAAAACAAAACAAACATTCTTGCGATATGGCATGTGTATGTGCAGGAGACAGACACAGACAGAAAGTGAAAAATCATTCCTTAGGGATGGGATGGCTATGCCATAATCCCTTCTCTTTCATTCTCTCCTTGGGATTTTGGGCATGTATGCACATGTGCCTGAAGTGTTTTTCAATTTGCTTGATCCAGGACTCAAACGATGGAGTAGGACATGTGGGATCCAGCACCTTAACTACCACACCAACTGTTGGTCCCTCGTGTATTTTTCAATACGGCAATCATTAAATGTTAGGCTGGCCCTGTGGCACAGCAGTCAGATCCCACACAGCAGACAGCAGTTTAAATCCTGGCCTCGGCGCCTCAGAAATATGAAGGGCTCATGTGTCTACATGCCCAGAATCCTGACGGGACAGAGAAATGGAGGAAAAAATGTGTGGCGTGACCATTCCCCACTGGGGGCTGCTCTCTCTTTTTTCACAAGTGCAAGTACATGTTGGCACCAAAATTAAAAAAAAAAAAAAAACAAAAAAAAAAACAA